ATGCTACGCTACTCACTTCGGACACGTACTCTTTAGCTTCTGTCATGGACTCAACAGAGTGGATTGACATGACTTACTTCAACTCGATCGTCACTCCACTACCTTCCGCGCCCGTTGTCATTCCTCCTGGACCCATCGTTGTCGGCGGCAACTCGACTTTCAACGGCACGACCCCACCGACCGATGCTCTTATCGTCTCAAAGACACCGATTGCTGGCGTCGTGACGTACGATACTATTCAAGCGGCTCTCAACGCTGCGCCAACTACGAGCAAGACGAATGCCACAATCTTCATCTACCCTGGTACCTACGAGGAGCAGCTCATCATCGCCAAGTCCGGACACACCATCTTCCGTGGATACTCCGATTCAACCGAGGATTACTCCAAGAACCAAGTTACCATTCAATTCAGCCGCGGTGTGGATACTCAAGGTACCTCTGGTAGCAACACTGACGGAGCGACTGTCTACGCAAAGGGCAACTACTTCCATGGTTTCAACATCAACTTCCGAAACAACAACGGCACGCAGCAGAACATTGCTTCGCTCGGCTTCGCTGTCCAAAGTAGCAAGTTCGCAGCGTTGTACGGATGCCAGATCTATGGTAACCAGGATACTCTCAGTGTGTCTGGCAATCTATTCACCTTCAAGACCTATATTGAGGGTAATGTGGACTTTATATATGGTAGTGGATCTGCCTACTTCCTGGATTCGACGATCGCCTCCAACGAAGACGGCATCAGCATCACAGCTCACAAGCGTACGACCAACACAACTGCTGCGGGCTTCGTGTTCGATCAGTCAAGGATCGTGCCTGCACCCGGATCTGGGAAGTTTAGCAGCGTCAGCCTTGGTCGTCCATGGAATAGCTTCTCGCGTGTCGCTTATGTTAGCTGCTACCTCGATGCCATGATCAGCCCGGCTGGATGGTCGCAGTGGTCAAAGACCAACCCGCAAACTGATGGTGTCACATACGGAGAGTACCATAACACTGGCCCAGGTTCTGATATCTGCAAGCGCGCTGCGTTCTCCCAGCAGCTTTCGGACAACGATGTTGCTCAGTTCCAGCTTGCTTCTTTCTTCGCCACGACTGCGTTCATTGATTTCCGATTCGTCGATACCCAGCCTTTCGCGATTGGAATGGGCTCGCCCCAGGTTTGCAGCACTGCATCCTCGTCCCTCATATCATCGTCAACAATGTCTGCCAGTGTTTCGATGTCTACTATGAGTCTCACCTCTTCGAGTAGTCTACCGTTGGTCACAGCATACACCACAACTACCGTGATCGCCCCACTTACTGCGAGCACCTTTGTCACCGCCCCTGAAGTCACTTCGACTACTGTGGTGAAAAGCACAGAGACGCTCTCGATCAGTGCCATCGACGTCATCAAGACCAGCACATTAAAGGTCACTGCCACCACCTCGATCGTTTCTCCTGACGTAACCTCCACTGCCACTTCGGTAGTAACTGAGGATGTTGGCCTTACTGTTACCCCGGAACCTGTTACCAAGACCAGCGTCGTCAAGGGTACCGTGACCGAAGCTGGAGTGACAACCAAGGGCGCTACGACTTCGACGGTCAAGGGCACCACGACTGTTACCGTTCTGTCCACCTCTTCGCCCAAGCCAACATCAATCACCGTCAGCGAGGGATCCACAGTCTTCATCACGAGCTCGAAGACTCAGAAGGCAGCTTCCACAATAGTCAAGACTACCATCTCGATCGAGCCGACCACCACCAAGACGACTACCGTGCAACCCAAAGACTCAGTCACGATCAGTAGCACGTCCATCAAGACAACTACCAAGAAGTCCACTACCACGCTCTCTTGCATTCCCACTCGCAGCGCGGAGAAGCTGGTCCGCCGAGGTGCCGTCCTTCCTCGCGCTGTGGCTAGCACTACCACGGTCACCGTCAGCACTACCGTGAGCAGCTACGTAGCCACAGCTACCGCAACTCAAGCTGGCTCGACCGCCTTTGTCACAGAGTTGTCCATCGCTACCAAGACTACTTCCCTGAAGGCCAGCACCAGCACAGTAACAGTCACATCCGTGGTGAAGACATCGACGATGGCTCAGGCAGGCTCTACCTACTACACGACAATCGTTTCAACGGAGAAGATTGGCAAGACCACCACGCTGAAGGCCTCCACCAACACAGTCTATTCCACCGACCTCGTCACCAAGACTGTCCTTTCAACAGTCACTGAGCCAGCGGTCACAGTCAGCTCTCTCAAGACCGCTTCAAAGACTTCGACTATCCTCGCAGCACAGGAAACCATCGTCGTAACCCAGTCGAGCGACGTGACTTCCAAGACAACGATTACGCTGCCTGTCTCTACGAGCACCAAGTTTGAGACGGTGACTCTAGGTGGCGGAGTAAAGACGGAGACGGTTACTGGGGCCCCCAAAACCAAGACGGTAGTTGCGAAGAGTACTGTGACGGTTGTCAGTCTGGTGACGAAGACGTCGAAGGGTGCGGCGGCTTGCACGGCATCGTAGATGATGTCAGAGACGTGCGTTTCAATTCTTGTACATATGTAGTGTGTAATGCCTAATGAAGAGACGCTTCAGTTTGAATGTGTTTCCATCTGAGATGTGTCGTGCTGAGTAATCGGAGCTGCGTGGGCAGTTCTTGTGTTGGAGACGAATGAGGCTAGCGCAAGCGAGGGGTCCCAGGAGCTTCAGCCCACCAAGCCTCGTGCAGCCCACGTTAGAGGCGCGTCATGGCACCAAAAGTCATCGGAGCCGTCTCCTGCTCCGGCGCGCGGGATGGCGGGGGGCAGCTCAACAGCTACCGATTTTACGCTCGTGCCCCCCGATTGCGCATCGTCTCCCCATATCATCCGACGCCTTTCCTGACGACTACACCGCTTACTGAACAAGCCCGCGAGCCATTGGCAGACTCAACAGCGGGGGTCCGTTACTACACTATCTTGGTAAGCCGCCGCACCCCCGACGTACGTCCAAAAGCAACCTGGGCGGGTGGAGAAGCAAATATCGTGTACAAAAGTGGGATTGGCCGCTGGGCATGGCCATTGAGCTGCTTTCTAGTGTTCTAGCCTCTTCGTCATACAGAGACTAACACCCTACGTCAAGGTCCCCACCTGTCGTCCTGAACCCTCGATTTCAGCGACACCACCGCCGCTCTCGCGATAACACCAATTCTACCTAAACCACCCTCACAACCGCAATCATGGTTCTACTCGGCGCAAGGAAACCGCCCTCCCGCAGGGGTATGCTCCGACCTCGCTATCGTACACAAGGACAGATGGGATAACACCGTGCTAGGCTCCATGGCGGACATGCCCAAGGATCTGAAGGAGCAGATCGACAGGCTCGAGGAGATGTTCGTGGTGAACACAGACAAGCTCAAGGCCATCTCGAACCACTTCGTCAAGGAGCTTGAGAAGGGCTTGTCGGAGGAGGGCGGAAGCATTGTGAGTCGCAATTTGCTTTGCGCTCTTCAGGATAGAGCTGACTGTGATAGCCCATGATTCCCACCTGGTGCATGGCCTTCCCCGACGGTAACGAGACCGGCAGCTACCTCGCGCTCGACATGGGTGGCACCAACCTGCGTGTCTGCGAGGTCACCCTGACAGAGGAGAAGGGCGAGTTCGAGATCATACAATCCAAGTACCGCATGCCCGAGGAGCTCAAGACGGGAACCGCCGAAGAGCTTTGGGGCTACGTTGCCGACTGTCTCCAGCAGTTCATCGAATACCACCACGAGGGCGAGCAGCTCAACCACCTGCCTCTCGGCTTCACCTTCTCATACCCCGTCTCGCAAGACGCCATCGACCACGGAGTTCTTCAGCGATGGACAAAGGGCTTCGATGTCGCCGGCATGGAGGGCGTGGATGTTGTTCCAGGCTTCAAGGCGGCTCTTGAGGAGCGCGGTGTACCCATCAAGCTTGCGGCTCTGGTCAACGACACGACCGGTACCATGATTGCCTCCGCGTATACCAACACCAAGATCAAGATCGGTTGCATCTTCGGTACCGGCTGCAACGCCGCCTACATGGAGGATTGCGGCTCCATCCCCAAGTTGAAGCATATGAAGCTCGACCCCAGCCTGCCAATGGCCATCAACTGCGAATGGGGCGCATTCGACAACGAACACCAGATCCTCCCAAGAACAAAGTACGATGTCATCGTTGACAAGGAATCACCACGACCCGGTCAGCAATCTTTCGAGAAGATGGTCGCCGGTCTCTACCTCGGCGAGATCTTCCGTCTCGTCCTCCAGGATCTGCACAAGGGTAGCGAATGCCACATGTTTGAGGGTCAGAACGCCAGCAAGCTCGACAAGCCTTACTCTCTCGACGCCGGATTCCTGTCTCAGATCGAGGAGGACCGCTTCGAGAACTTGCAAGACACAGGAGATCTCTTCCAAGAGAAACTCGGCATCACCTGCACGAAGCCCGAACTCGAGCTCATCCGCCGTCTTGCCGAACTCATTGGCACACGTGCTGCTCGTCTCACCGCGTGTGGTGTAGGTGCCATTTGCAAGCACAAGAAGTGGGATGAAGTGCACGTCGGTGCCGATGGCTCCGTCTTCACAAAGTACCCCCACTTCAAGATCCGCCAAGCCCAGGCGCTCAAGGAGATCATGGACTGGCCCGCCAAGTACGGCAAGGGCAAGAACGACCCTGTCGAGGTGCTTCCCGCTGAGGACGGCTCTGGTGTAGGTGCTGCTCTGATTGCTGCGCTTACCGTTAAGCGTGCGCAGCAGGGTCAGTTGGCTGGTATCCGGGATCCGGACACGCTTCTGGCTATGGCTCCTAAGGATGCGAAGAAGGCCTGATAATGGATGTCTTATTCTGACAAATGAATGAATGATAGAATGTATATACGAAATGTGTCACATCTACCAAAGATTTGGTCTTTGCAGAGTGAAATTGGTAAACGTTATGAGCGTATCTTGAGGCAGATGATGCACAGAAGGCCAGAGAACTGATAAGTACACACAGCAACGTCATTTAAACACATCACATACCCTCAAGCATACTGCTCCACCTGCTTCTCACTCCACTCCCAAAACGCACTCGCCGTTTTCTTCCCCGTCTCGGACCAATAGTCCTTCCTCAGCGTCCCAACCCTTCCAAACGGCATAATCCACTCACCCGTCTTGAGCTTCGCAGCCTCAGGTGCGAGGCCAGCAAACAATTCCGTATACGCGCCATTAACCGTCGGGTACAACATGAAATTGGCGAAGAAATGATGCACAGCATTCATGTTGCGTCCGAGCTCCGTTTTAAGGTTCCCCGGGTTGAGCGCCTGCAGTAGTTTTCGTTAGTCGATCGACGCAGAGAGATCCTCAAAGAGGAGGAACGTAAAGAAAGGGGGTGGGAACAAGAAAATGGAACATACCACACTAACAACCCCCTCGCCCCCATACTTCCTCTGAAACTCCAAGGCGTGAAACACATTCCCACCTTTACTCATCCCATACTTTGTCCAATTGTTCACATTTTTGGTATACTCCAGATTACTCATATCCACGCCGCCAGTTGGCGCGCTCATCTGCGACGCAATTGAACTCACCCAAATCACCCGAACGCTACCTTTTGCTTCTTTCTTCGCGGTTTCCAGCAAGATTGGCGTGAGCAGCTTGGTGAAGAGGAAGGGCGCGACGCAATTCGTGCCGAGTTGCAGCTCGTAACCTTGTTTTGTTGTGCTGCCAACCGGGGGGACCATGACGCCTGCGTTGTTGAACAGAACATCCAAGCGTGATTCCTTTGCTAGGAATGACTCGGCGGAGGCTTTGATGCCGGAGAGGTCGTCGAGGTCGAGATGCAGGTAGTGCAGTGTGCCTTTGGAATCGGGACATGCTTCTTTGATGTAGGATATCGCTGCGTGCGCTTTTTCGGCTGATCGCGCGGCGATGTAGACGGTGGCGTGGTGGGTGTAAAGGAGGCGCGAGAGCTCTTTGCCTATTCCTGCGGAAGCGCCAGTTACGATGTAGACTTTTCCGCTGAGGTTGGGGAGGTCGGTCTCGGTGAAGGAAGGGGCGGGCGGGAAGAACTGGCTGAATCGCTGGCCCATTATGGAAGGGCGTGGTGGTCGTGGTAAATGTCAAGTTAATTAATCGTGATTCTTTGATGGGGCAGCGCGTAATGGTCTATGGATGTTCAGTAATCGCAAGAGGGCAAAAGACGTATATATACTCAGTTCCATCTTGAGAGCAAGTTTCCCTCCATCCCGTTCAACTGGTACTTCGAACGGCCCGTTGTTCAAGACTCGGCTTCACCACGGCATTACTACTATACCAGCCATCCAGTCTGTAAGCCTATGAGAAGCCACGAACCCTGAATTAAAGTTGCGCTATCACGATATACATTGGATACGTCGTAGTCCCCTCCAAGCACCGTGTTTGGTGCGTCCCGTGGTTGTGTTTCGGAGTTAGGACGATGTGCGCGGCGGAGTTAAATGACGTGGTAATCGGGCCGTATACTTCCAGGGTCGGTATGTTGGAGTGGGAGTGCGGAGTGGTGTTGTCGTTGACGACATGAGTTGTATCAATCAGGACTTATGTTGTGGTACGGATCTTCTTGCTACATACACGGCTGGGTAACGTACGAGGTTTGTACATGTCTCGCACCGGTTCGTACAAGATGTCACTTGTTTTCATGCGAAGTAGTTGGGTAGTTGAGATTCTCACATGAAGTCGTAGGCGTCAACGGATACCTAGGTAGGGAAAAAAAGCAGAACTGGTAACGGCTAGGCAGGAAAGAGAAGCCTTATTACTTTGGACTACGCTACCTAGATAACGCCTTGACATGTGCCCAAAGATCGCCGCCGTCTTCATCAAGTCGTACGCCTTCCTCAAATACCTTCAGCATCCCCGTTCGCCTGATCAGCGCCTCATCGACGTCCGAAGTCGGTTTTGGATCGCCAGCGACGCCCGTGACCCGGAGTCAGGTCTAAATACGGCAGCAAGCCCAGCAATCCTACGCATGTCAGCTCAATGCTCTCCAACATCTCTTTAGACCAGGGAGTCGATAAATACTTACACCAAGCTGTACAGGTTCCTGCCGGAAGTTAGCATACAGTCACTCCTAGATCAGAATCAGATCCACATACCCATCCCTCACCACAGTTGGTAGGCGGCTCAGCAGCACATCTACGATCGCAAACCCTGGGTGGTGGGGTAGCAAGCGCAGCACGCGCTGATGGCGGCGGTTGCGTAGGACGGGTGTAGTGTTGCGGCTTTGCTGCTGCAAGGGCGGCGAGCAGAGTGACGGCGACAAAGGTCTTCATATTGACGATGATAGTCAGGTATGTGGTATGAGTGAGTATGGAAGATGAGGACTGAAATCAAGGGGATATGTAAGGATATATACATACTCGCTACCAAAAAGGCGCCCAACGCCACCACAAACGGGATTACTCGAAAGAGAATGAGGTAAGGGAACGCGTTCTAGACTCACGAGAAGACACCTGTTTGTGCGACTTCTCAGCTTATGGCTGACGTCCACTGCAAACATCGCTGCGAATCTAACTCGAAAACGGAAATTGCGACCAACAAACGAAGAGGTATACTCAGCGGGAGCTTGGCCAGTAACACAACGCGTAGCTACTACTGGGTCAGTAGGAGCTCAGAGGACGGTAAAAGGTCGGCACAGCATGTCATGGTGGTGTAGAGAGTGGGTAGGTGGGAATAGCGACAACTCGATCATTCACAATCAGCGCATGAAGGCCGAGAATATGACGGCTCAAGGTGTAGAAAGGAAGCAGCTGGAAATCAAAGGTCATGCATGCGAAGGATCAGGCATAGTATTGATTGGAAGATAATGTTTGTCGTTTGACATCACATCTATTCCGCCTTCCATGCGTTCCAAAATCTCATCAAATGATAGTCCAAATCCCACTAATCTCCATCCAAATGTTCTCTAAGCAGTGCAGCAAAACCATCTCAATGATCAGCCCAAGCTAAGCCAGGCCTCAATATGAGTCAAAAGCGCACTCTATTCCCTGGTGCAGCAGGACCAGCATTCCTACATCACGTTAGCTCACATACTAGCCTCGCCAATCGAAGAGCGCATATGTAGCAGGTACTTACACCAGACTTGACTGCCACCTGTTCCACGTTAGCACAATACTCATGTTGAATATGGAAATTTGATAACATACCCCACCTGGGCAGTCTGGCTCTTCAAAGAGACAGATCTTCGTGCAAATCTGAGCAGGTACGACGGGAGATGCCGCTGCGAAAGCAGCAAGAACGGCGATGAGAATGAAAGACTTCATTTTTGATAATGATGATGGAGGCTTGTTGGTCTGTACGAGAGATGGAAGGGATGTGTAATTGCTGTAAAGAATGCAGCTGAACACGGGCGTACACGAGGTAATATATACACCCGTAACCCACTCAAACACCCACCAAAAGCTTCACCGGGGAACACGGTCCACGAAGATCCTCAGCCGTCGCTTTCCCATATACGCCGACAGACAGCTTCACTACTACGGCTTACATGCGAACTCAATCCCACACATACCAAATCTATACATTTGGCGCGAGTACAAACGCCACAATGCTTCTCCCTCCACCGTGCTAAGCAAATTGACGGGGCTGATCTACCAAAAACAGCAAATGAGCATGATGACGTTGAGGGAGAAGCGGGTGAAACGGCTGCGATGGCGGTGGTGGTCAAAGCGATAGGCTTTTCCAAGCCATCGAGATGATGTTGGGTGGCAGGAGGAAATGAAGTACAAACAGCCTTGGCGCAATATACCGCTTACCCGGTTTCGGGGACATGGGTTCCCCGCATTTTATGGTTTGCAGGCGTAGGGCTTGCTGGGGTAACAATAGATGTGTTTGCAGTGGAGGTATGAGGGAATGAGTGGTTGTTATGGAGGTGTCATAGATACGGGTGTGAAGGATATGGGGGAGTATTGCGATGTCGTCTGCGTTGATTGTTTGTACGGCAGAGATCGGCCCGTCAGGCTTCGCGATGACGCTTTTGTGACAGTTTCGTGTGCTGGCCACTGGAGAGAACTCCGGGCGCGGAGAGGAGATGAGCGTAAGCACCGACTTGGCATTTCGTATTTCGTATCAATCTATCACCCGAGACTGATACTACAATATCATATCAGCGCATTTCCGTCTTCTCGTCTTCATGGCACCTCTCTCAGATGCCAAGTGCCACGAGAAGCGCCTCGCAGCTAAAAGATGGCAACGGCATTTGGCGGACTCGCAACACCACCTGGTACCTGCGAAACAGTCAGCGCATGTCTTAGTATCAGCAACTTGGCAAGACTTTACCTTCAACGGCACACTACTAACAAAGCAAGTGCTCCGTCCCAACTCCTTGCTCTTCTCACATAACCGCTCCAAATCCCACATCTCACCTATCATAACACCCCATCCACCTAAAAGCCATTGATGTACTAAGCCACCGCCCTGCATCTCGTTTTCCCAGGTTTCACCCGCGTTGATACCACCTGGGGCGCTGTGTGGACCTACGAGCGGAGACATTTCGAATGACGGCGCGTCGGATGCTGCGGAACCGTTAGAGAGCATACTTTGAGTTGTGGTTGGAGGTGTTTGAGAAGAAGCCAAGGAGACGTTGGATCATGAGAATATGAGATGAGGTAAGACGAGCGGATGCTTACCAACAGCAACGAACCCGTTTTCCCAAATCCATTGTAGCGTGTTCTTATTCGACTGTACGCCCAGGAACGTCGGTGGCTTATCCTTTATCGCCCGTCTTTCTTCCTCGCCTAGCTTGGCGTAATCACGTGTGAATCCTGTTCGTAAGAGTAGCAGATCGCCTTCTCGCGTTTTGAGACCTGTTTCGTGCAGCATGTCTTTTAGTTCCTCAGCCGTGATGCTGTTGGCTTCGAGCGCGTACACTTCTTTCTTGCCATTCTTCTCAAGATAGCGCGGATAATCTAAAATGATACCCCGAGCGGTGATGCCGCCAGAGTTGGCAACACGGTCAATGCCGATGACTTCCGAGGACTCGAGATCTTGCTGTGAGCGCCCACCGTAGTACCTCTTTGCACTCTGGTAACCGTAGTGGCGGAAGCCGTCCCACTGACTACTTCCCTGCGTGTTGAAATCCAGATGGTCATCGTTGACAGTTCTCTTGGCGCCATCTGGATGTTCTTTGTTCTTCATCTTCCAGGAGAAAGATGGGCGGTTAAAGGATGGATGGGATGGCAGGTTGAGATACCAGTCAAGTGAGACCCGGTCACCGGTTTGTATCTCCTGGGCCGCTGCTTTGACGGCTGATGGTGTAATCATGTTTAGAGCACCGAGCTCGTCGTTTGGGCCGTACAGACCCCATGCGTTTCCAGGTGGACCATTTTTGTCGAGTGGGAGATCCTGGAATGGAGGACGCGATGGTGCCATAGCAGTGTCAAGTATATATGGAACGGTCCAGAAAGTGACAACTTCGAGGGCTTGCTGATGAGTTCACTCTAGAGAAACCACGATGTAGAAATACTTATCGGTCTTTTGAACACCATCTGGCTACACTGCTGAAGCTATGTGACGTATGGTGGGGTAAAGGGCGGGGTAACTTCCGCTCGGTAACTGACGAGGTGGACGTGACGACCGCGACTCGGACAACGGAAAGAGCATTCTTGCCAATACGTGGAGCGCGAGCTTGATTGCTGTCTTTAGTCAGGAGTTCACTCTCCTTGATTCACCTCGTTAGACGACAACTCGTGCAGGCGCTGCGTACGTGCTTTGGTATTGCAATACCTACTGTGCTGCAGCAATTGATTCAGAAGTCGGGTCCCATCCCTACGCCACTTCCTCTTGAGCCTGTGTTCTTCAAATGCGCACCACTGCCTTTGAATAGGCTTTGCCAAATGAAGGCTTCACTTAACAATAGTTCAATGTCCTTTTCGGTCCACTGACGCGTTGGCAATGATTGCAGAAACATCATGACCTCTTGAAAGTCCATCTTTCGTAGCTGATCGGACCACTTTACGAGGAACGCAGCGCATACGTAGAGGTGGAATGACGAAAACCCGTCCTCTTCGGCCTAGACAATGTTAGTGATGCACTTAAGAATGTGGCTACGTAGCTTACC